CAGAGTATTCGAGAAACGCAGCAGCCGACGAACGAATTGTAGATGCCCAACCATGTGCACCACGACCTTCTAGTAGCGCCGCTCCGATAGAATATATTTTCAAGTCCGATAGACTTGAACTCAACATGGGACTCAAAAGGTTTCCAGTCAAGGTCCCTTGCTATGGGAGACACGGTACGGTCTCAGGTACCGTGCTCGTAAAGGATTTCAAGGCCGTCACCAAAGTTACGATAACAGTATGTACGATTTATTATTCATATCAGCTACAGGAGATATGCTAATCTCGCTCACAAACCAGTTGGAGGGCGGGTGCTATACGAGCGTTATGGAACGTGGAATGGCCGTCTACAATTCTACCAAGACACTCTTGCTCAAAACTCAAGTGCTATGGACTCGTCCAGAAAGCGCGACGTGCTCACCAGAAGCACCTTCCACATTCCCATTCTCCTTTCCGCTGCCTACCTACATTCAAGGCTCCGATATCCGGCTACCTCATTCGTACGCCACTATCCACCCTGGTTTGAATGGAGATGTTACCTATCAAGTACGAGTGGATTTGTACAGAAAGGGACTGCGTAGACACGAACGGTACGTGACGAATAGCGTATTGTCACCTCTGACGCGTAGTGCTGACTCGCCATCCTCTAGGCTAAAGACCATGATACTCTATCTGCCAAGATCCACACCGACAGATTGGATCCCACAGCCCTCGGATGATACTGAAACTACTCGCGACTTTCTCTCTTGGGAGACAGTCCCCATTCTCCCAAGACATTCACAGGCGCTTGCCAAGGCGAAGCGGGCCAGTCAAATCGTGGACGAGAAACCACTTGGGGATCAGATCAATGTACGTCACCTCATAATCGACCTCTTCTTCAGCCGTACTGACAGGTGGCTCTAGCTCATCCTGCCCCTTCCTAAAACGTACGCTTCTTACGCTCCAATACCCTTTCACGTTTCCCTTCCCGCCGAGTCTCCCTTACTCCCACATATCTCGACCGGTCTCTCTGTACACCTCATCAAGTATACCATCATCCGAGCTGGTGGATTTATCAGCATGAAAGAGGGGATCATCGGCACCGGCGAGATTTGGCGCATCGAAGACCACTCTTACCCCACACCACCTCCATCTCCTGGAGGGGAAGACGAAGAGAGGACGTTAGCAACTCCCCGCAAGGTCTATAGCGGGACCTTGAAGAGCTTTAGGGAGGGTGGCGAGAGCAGTTGGAACATTCCAGAATACCTAGAAATCAAGGTACGTCTTACCACAAGTCTTGTTTCTCTTCAGTCGTCTGACTACTTTCATTAGTACTCGATCCGTCTGCGACTTCGCGCACCAGGTCAAGATGGAAAGCACATCCCAGACTACTATGTAGACCACCCCATCACAATGTGCACACACAACTATATTCCCAACGCCGATGACATTCATGATCCAGTAATTGGACTGATCGCTGTGTCGGGTTCACAAGGGGCTCCGACGGGTCACAACGCGGGACTCGTGAACTCCGTACAATAATGACGTCGTTTTCTGTCTCTTTTTTCATATTTTTTGACTTACAATCGGTGTATCAGCTCTCAAAACCGCATAGTCTACTCGTACAATTTTCTTTTGTATTCCAAATACCTAATGGGAAATGGATGTATAATCAAACCAAGCTTACGAAATAATACATGATATGTTAAGCTCTTAGTAAAGAAGAGATGTGTTTTCCAGCGATGAGCGGTGAAAAGTTAGTAAGAGTGGCGGGGTGGAAAAATGTAGTCTGCGACGAATAGGCACAGGGATACGAGATCATATGGGTTTAGGAGCACTATGAAGACGTTCTCAATCGTTATTGTGAGCGAAATCGTGTGGAGACACATTACTCATCCTACGCCAAAAATTTCTGATTATAAATTGTAGGGTTACAAAAGGCTTGAACAAAAAGAGAGTAAGCCAACGCGTCAGATAGACGTGCTCCCGCTGGAATCAAGTTGAACACTCGCAAGAGCAAGCGAACGACAAGACACCAAACTTCCTCGATGCCCCAAACGCCAACCCGAGGGTCAAGACGCATAAAAGGAGCTGGCCTCAGTCGAACGGAAGCACGAAGAATCATCTACGGCGTTGAAATGTGGGGCATTTTTAAAAATGCGAGAACTCGGGTCAGTTTCTACATAGAGATCCTGAACTGAGTATGTTCTAAAGATTCGTTTGTTTGGCGCAACCCAAACTTTATATACTACTCGGTGGCTGTACAGTACCAAGCCACCAAAACGAAGCCACAGTTGCCGTATTGAGTAAGAGTCGGCGATCGAACCTACCCCTAACTGACAAATTTTCTGCCACGATGAGACTAGAAAAAAGAGCAATCAAAATATCATTCGAAACATTTGTCCCGTAGAGGGATGCTTTGCCCATGTTTCATTTATACCTTGGACCCTTCTCTACCCATGTCTTCAAGCTACATCCCCCAAATCATCCTCGCGTGTGCATTCACGTCTGTCTCTATCCACCTTATCAACCAAAGGCGAGAAATGGAAACATCAAAGCGCCGTTCCTTGGCCCAAATCACTGCCCTCGAAGACGTGGTCAAACGGCTGCGAGCTGGCGAGATGGTTAGCGAGACCGAGATGCAAAAGATGAGAAAAAGAGTGGGGCTTTTGAATTCTCATTACGGAATTCATGATGATAAGGACAGTCTCTTTGGTGATGATGCCACGTCCTCCACTTCGCAAAAAGCCACCGCTTGGAAGGAGGTGATCATGGGAAAGGCTGGAGCGACGAACGTGACTGAGGAGCAAGAATTATCCGAGTGGAACAAGGGTTAGTGAATCATCATAGCGCACGTTCTCTTGTCTGACTCTATCTATGTTAGCTCTCCAAGACAGCCTCGCAGAAGAGCCACAGGGCAAAGTCTTGACACTCTTCCCACAAAGACAGAATGTCAAGTTAGCACCCTCTGTGTCTACCGACACGGCTACACGACCAGCCGCAGCGGTCCAACCAGTCGAACGATCATCTCAACCTCAAAGCACAACATCAAATCCGCGAAAACCCATCTTTTATTAGACACACAGACAAAAAAACGACCAAAGTCCACAAAAGGTCTACACTAGTTGCAGGTCAAGATACTGGCGAGCTTGTCGCGTACGACCTTTTGGACATCCTTGCTCACATCCAACTTTGTCTTGCTCGAAAAGGCCGAGATGGAGACGTAGCAGTTTCCCCGGCCCAAGACGGATGATTCGGTGGGCAAGTGGTTGGTACCGCACTGGTCAACGTCGTCGGTGAGCGGGTTGATGTCTGGGTTGAGTCGCGAGAGTACGAATTTAAAGTCGCTGGGGTTTTGGCAGAGGCTCTCGGTCGCCATTCCAATGTTGACGTTCTATATCGCTTGATTAGCAAGTTTGGTCGTCTATATCGTGACTGGGATGCTTACCAGTCCAACTTTGGCGGGAAGGTAGGGTGCGCCAGCGGCGACAACGGTTTGGACAACCTTGGTGGCCACCTTGGCATAGACATCGGCCACTGAGTCGGGTTCTGAGTAGATGTGCTGGGAACCTCCTTTGCCGCTGAAAGCAATGGCGGGAATTCCCCTGTCTACGGCTAGCGTGGCAGCTCCACTATTCAAACTTGATATCAGACAGGGGTGAATGCAACTAGATTGATACGCACACTGTACCAGAGAAAAGAGCCTTGAGACCGAGGTTATCTAAGTGAAACAAGTGAGCCACAGATCCAAGAGATGCACAACTTGATACCCACCTCCTACGTTCACACCGGTGACGACGAGTTGAGGTTTTGCTCCAAATACTTTTGGAGCAAACTCATCGATACCGTATCGGACGGCGGTAGCGGGGAACGAGTTAACGTAATGGATGTTTGGGTCGTTGGAGTCGGAACCAGTTGCTGGTGACAACGCTGGAATAGTATTAAATTCACCAGCGGTGATGAGAGGGATGGGAGGAAGATCCAAGCCGCTGGTGCCTGACTTGTTATCGGCTGGGGCAGAAATGATGGCCTATTAAGCGAGCGAGGGAAAATCAGTATGCTTGTGTTACGAACGCGTATCAAAGAAGCAGGCATGACATACTTTGAATCCGGCAGCCTTTAGTTCATCGTAAAAGGATCTAATGTTGGCAGTGGCCCACCCGTCGTCATTACCGATGACGATGTTGGGCAGGGAAGAGTCTCGCTGAATGACTGCAGCGTTTGTGAGTCCAATGAGGGCAAGGAGTGGAAGAATCATGATGTGAGTAGAAGGCTGTCGAACAGAGTTTAGTATATATAGGTGATTCGCGGGGGGTACTGCAACGTACATTGTGAGTTCGTAGAAAGGTATTTCTTTGCTAAATATATACTGTTTCAATGCTGTCTTGTCGATAAGTGCGCCGCAGACTCGGTAGGCCTGTGGAGAGGAGGAGGGGGAGGATAAAAGGGCTACCCAAGCATTCGAGGGGCGGTATATAAAAGCAGTTAGTCGCCAAGAATTGCAACGAATGGCCCGTTGAGTGAGACGCGAGTGTTTAGAAGCAACCGAGTTCTGTGAGCATGGCCATATGGATCCACGGCCACTCGAGCAACGTTCGTGTTATCCTCCGGTGAAAACGTTCCTTCCGTATTACGACCTTGTTTCGAGGCTAATTCCGTGGTGGGCTTACTCGCCAGCCCTAGGCGCAGCTTTCTCCAAAAGGCCGGTCAACACACGACACCCGGCCCATTGTCTATCGGCGAAAAAAGATTATTCTCCAAACACTCTGAACGCGGATTTTCCTTGTATAATGTAAAACACTTGTTGTAACACTGCCGGTCGCCACCGGCGCGGACGGGCTAAAGCTCGTTCTTCGTACCCCCACTATTCACCGCTACGAGCCAAAAAAAGTTTGTCAGGAGCAGCTCGCCGCGCTTGTTCACTCCGAAGTGTGCGGATCATAGCATTGATATTTAGTACCCATTAATGAGAAAATACAGTACGACTAGCCTCATCATTGCCCACAGCCGATGGGTCGGCTCACCAACTCACATTCAACCCAACCACATCACTCACCACAGCCCGATAC